CAGCAGGAACGATTGCCTGGGTAACATTCATGGTGCAGTGTGCAAGGGGGATGTGGCTGATTTAGGAGGTTCTTTATCTGAGGGCCAGGTTCAATACTTGCTTCTAACCTTGTTTCTGTTGTGTTTCCAGTGCATCCACCGAGATGTAAAGCCAGAAAACATCCTGATAACAAAGCACTCAGTCATCAAACTCTGTGACTTTGGATTTGCCCGCATACTGAGTGAGTGCAGCCTTGGTGCTTCACAGATTGCTAACACATGAGAGCTCTAATTAAGAGTAGGATCAGGCTTTCAAACACCAGTAAAGACTCGCTTGCCTTTGTGTCATGCACGCGTAAATCATCCTGTGTAAAGGCTGGTGTGTTTTCGGAGAGAAGCTCTGCTGGAGGCTGTTAGAGATCTCTACATCAGCTTAAAGGGAGCCAGCCCAGACACAGCACTGCCAAGTGCCTCTCTAAACAAACTCTGTTTGAGCTCCCTGCTGGTGCTGGTAGCTGGAAGTCAGCCTTGGGCACCTTGGAGCTGCCCAGCCACTGCTTGTGCAATGCTGGAGCCACAGCTGGAGTTCCCTGGCAGGACAAGTCCCCCTGGCAGAAGGTGCTGTCTCTGCAAACAACGGCATCACATTTTCCGTTGCAATAAACCTCCTAATCTGTTGGGGTGGTTTTTTTTAGCTCTTGTTCAGACAAATCACATGGGCTTTGAGAACTGACCACTGGCTGGTGCAGGGCCCTGCTGTGGAGCTTTGCATGGTTTCATTTCCAGACAAAAATGGTTTCGATTTTTGCCAGATCTTCAGTGTTTCCACAGTTGGGTTCTGCTAGTGACCCATGACTCATCCTGCTCCTGCAGGGCCAGGAGGTGCCCCAACACGTGTAGCAATTGATGGTGGCTCATCTGCATTGCTCTGATCCCACATCCCTGTTTGTTTCTCTCCTTCCCAACCCAGCTGGCCCGAGTGATTATTACACCGACTACGTGGCTACCAGGTGGTACCGCTCCCCGGAGCTGCTGGTGGGAGACACACAGTACGGGCCCCCCGTGGACGTCTGGGCCATCGGCTGTGTCTTTGCAGAGCTGCTCTCCGGGGCTCCCCTCCGGCCTGGCAAGTCTG